GCTGCAATGGCCCCAGCGCCTTCCCGCCCTGGCGTCCCCGCCCCCACCCGGCCGAGCACGTGCTGCCCCCAGCCCGGCCCTGCCCTGCCCCCCACCCCCACCGGAAACATTCCTGAGACATTCCTGAAACGAGGAGGCCCGGCCCCTCCGGTTCCCCACCCCGCCTCCACTCTGGGCGCAGGGTTTTCCAGGCGTCCCCCCCACCCGCCCCCACCCTCCAGCGCCGGTTCGCCCCTGAGGAGGGGGCTGAGCCGGGGCCTCCGCCGACCCGGGAGGAAGGGGAGCTTAGAGAAACATGAGTCACAGCCGTGTGTCACTGGGCCGCACTGCGAGTCCCTGCATCTTGGAGAGATAGGGAAGGCCGCCTCGGGGGCCAGGGGCGGGGAAGTGCGCCCGAGAAGGCCCCGGGCCCGGCCTGCAGGGCGCGCCCCTGACAGCGCCCTTTCTTCCCCCACCGCCCTCCCCGCCATCTTCCCGCTTGGGCTGCCTTCTCGTTCGCGCAATAGGTCTTTGTGGCGCCAGGCGTGGCGGGTACAGCGTGCGCAGACTAATTCCTTGCCCTCAGAGTGCTTCCAGGCGACCACCGGCTCACGCTTTATTTAAAAAAAAAAAAAGTCAGCGTAAGGGGCCATGGCATTCACTGGGATCGTTGGTCTCCACACCACCATCCGGGTCATTTAAAAGGAATGCGCCCTCCCCTCAGGTTTACCTTTAGAGGAGCCAATCGTTGGCCTCGCGTGGAGGCCGCACCTTGATTATAGTTCACTCGGACCCACTAAATCTAAACCCTGGATCTCACAAGTTTCACGTTCGAGTTTCACAAGACCTTACATTTCACCAGTCAGCCACACATGGGCTGGCACCGAAATGCACACGCTGACACCTGTCCGCCCAGGGGAAACTCTAAGGAGCCGCGTTATCCAGGCGGAGGGGGCGGCGGGTAGGCCGCGGGACTCTCCAATCGGCGCCCGCGCACATTCACGCGCCCGCGAGCACCAGGCCTAACGCCCGGAAGGCCCAAAAGGCGTCTCTCCCGCGGGCCCACTCCACGCAGAGAGGACGCCCACCCTCTGGGAAGGGCTTCCTGGCGACCCCTTTCAATAGCTCCCCACGTCTGCCGATTTGGGACTAAGGGGCGGGGGGCCACGGCCTCAGGGCCCCGGCCCGGCCCCCCTGCGCGCCCGCCCCCAGACGCCCGTCTCCACACGGCCCTCGCCGTCGTCAGCACCCACCCGCGCGGCGGCGGCGGGCGGCCGCCCTTTTAAATCCCCAGGCTCATTTGCATGGCCCCGCCCCCCCGGTGACACGGCTGGCGCGGGCGGGCCCGTCCCCCCTGCCCCTGGGTCGCTCTTTTTAAGCTCCCCTGAGCCGGGGCTGCGCTCCTCTAATTGGGACTCCGAGCCCGGGCTATTTCTGGCCCTGGCGCGGCTCCAAGAAGGCGTGAGTTCGCGGCCCCTCCGGTGGCTCCTTTTTTTTTTTTTAAATATCTATCATTTAAATAAATTATTTATTTATTGAGGCCGCGCACGGGCCGTGCCTAGCTTCCTGCCCCTCGCCATCCTTCGGGGGAGGTGGAATATTTTTGTGCCGCCCCCCCGGCCTGGATGTGACATATAAATACCCCGCGGGGGCCAGGGCGGCGAGCACGCGGCGGCGGCGGCGGCCTCTGAGCGCTTCTCCTCTGTCTCCCGGTTTCAGATCCGCATTTGCTACCAGCGGCGGCGGCGGCGGCGGCGGAGCCAGGCCGGTCCTCAGCGCCCAGCACCGTCGCTCCCGGCAGCTCGGAGCGCGCACCGCAGGCCGGCAGCCGAGCTCGCGGTGAGTCCGTACCGGGGCCGGCGGCGGAGGGGGGCGCCCGCGCCGCGGCCGCACGCCGCCCCCTCCTGCAAGCCGCCCCGGGGCTGCAGCGCGCGCCTCCGGCTTTATTCCCAGGCCGGGGCTGCGCGAGCCGCCCGGCGGGGGAGGGCCGCGCGGCGCGGGGGGCGGGCGGCGGGGCCCGGCGGCGCGGGGAGGGCGCCCGCACCCCTGCCCCCGCGCCGCGGGCGCCGTGCGGGGGGCGGGGACCGGGGTGCAGCGCGCGGTGGGGGAGGGGGCGCGCGGCTGCGGCGAGCGCGAGTCGTGCACCCGGCGGCTCTCGGTGCACCTCGCGCGGCCGCCGCTCCCGCCCGAGCCCGAGCCCGAGCCCGGGCCTGTGCCGTGGGGGCGGGGAGAGGGGCAGGCTGGGGCGCGGCGGGAGAGCCGGGGGCCGAGCGGCCCCACAGCCTGGGGAAGTTCTCTAAGTGGGGGGTGGGTGGGCGGGAACCCCGCAATTCGGCCTGAACTCCGGGCTCGGCCTTTTATCCCGGCGCTCGCTCCGCAGCCGAGGCCGACTGCCTGGCCTGGGTTTGGGGCTTCACCCCGACCCCACCTCTGGCCCAGCCTGCGCCTCTTCAGCCCCCGGGGCCCGGCCTGCCCTCCGCCCCCACAAACTGGTTTCTCTGCTTTGCTGGGCTCTGTTGGAACTAGTCCCTTTGACTCCCCGTTTCATTTTTTTTTCAACTGGGGCTTTTATTTTGCGTGGAGGGCGCGGAGGGAGGCGGCTTTCTTCCTCTCCCCCGCGCGCGCCAGGTTTCCTGCCCCAAGGCGGGCTTGGGTGCCCCCTCTGGCAGGAAGTGGGGCCGGGTGCACCCTCGTGGCGGTGCATGCGGTCGGGGTGCACCGGTTTCCCGCGCCTGCACCCGCGGCCTGCGCCCCTCCCCCCGCGCGCCCCGGCCCCTCGTTCCTCCGGCCGACCTGCAACGGCCGGGCGCAGACACTTGCAGAGTCACCCTGGGCCCGGGTCTGGAGTAGGGGCGACAGGGGCTTTACCAGCCCCTAGGCGGGTAAGGAAACTGGCGGGCGAGAAGGGTCGCCAGGAACCCACTCCAACTTGCTCTGTGACCTTGGGCACCTCATCAGCCCTTCCTCTAGGCTACTTTTTTGGGGGAAACGAGGCAGTCCCATGGTGATTTCCTAGAGTCATGACCACGGATTACCTTAGCGTTTGTGGAGCCCACATTGTGTGGAGGGGACTAGTCTGAGGCCCGAAAAGGCTTATTACAACGACGATAGGATTGAAGTTGGGCCTCAAACGTGGCTTCACCAAGCCAGGCCTCCCTGATGTTCAGAAACAGGTGGAAGAGACAAGCATTTGTTGGTCTCACCAGAGAGGGCCTCAGGCCTTAATTCAGTTCATGGAGGCCTGGATCTGGGGTGGAGGTGAGCGGATTAAAGGGTTCCCAGCAGCAAGAAGTGGGGGAAACACCAGACGCACTCAACAGGGTCCCCAGGAAGGCTGGGCTGGGCCTTCTGGGATTAGGGGCTGGCTTCGCCCAACTAGAACCCCTCTTGGAGGGGGCCTCCAGCAAACCTCATGTGAGGTCAGCGCTCATTTAGCTGATTAATTTTGATGTTTAGTTTTGAAGGGGGATCTGTGGTGTAATGTAAGATTCTAATCACTGCCTGTAATTACAGAGCAGGCCAAGCCACTAATGATGGAGCAGGATAAATCACCAACCACCTTGTTTAAAAGGGTCTTCAAGTCTGAAATATTATGAAATGGAATAATTACCAGACGAAGTCTCGCCGTCTGGAGCATTTCAATACTTGAGGATCAGGGGCCTGAGGCCCCTCTTAACAATCAGAAGTTTGCAAAAAAAAAACAGTCTTTCCTCTCTTTGGGTTAAAATTGGAAATAGTCTGAATCTGAAAAGGGAGAGTCGTTTTCAAATGTTCTAGTTCTCATTTTGATTGGAATGAACCTTTCAGTTGTTTAGGTGTTTTTAATTTTTACCTGGTTTGATTCTTGCTGCAGTCCGTAGATGTAGACAAGACAGGTAGAGCATCATTACCCCCATTTTATAGGTTGAGGGGCTTTTCTGGAAGTGGAGCCACTTGGGCCCACCCTTTGCCAAGGGCAGCCTCCCAGGACAAATCTGTCTGTAACTTGGGGATAATAACTGGGAGGATAGGAGTGGGGGCCCCTTGCTGCCCTTTCTCAGCCTCTGGAAGAGACTCCCAAACACAGGTGCAGGTGTCCCTTGCAGAGAGCGGTTTGACATGAATTCTGTATTTGTAGGACTGATTAAGTCCAGACAGTTCTCTTAAGAAGAGGGAATATGCTAGAAAAGGACCAGGGCGCTTTGAGGACCAGCCCTCCTAGGGCTTCAGGGGGTCAGCTAGCATCTTCTCCCTCTCAGTTGAAGTTCCTGCCCCTCATGTGAGGAAGCATCAAAGAGAAGGATCCCGTCTGACTCCAGGTGGGTGGGCACAGGCTGGGGGGAAGAGGAGACTCCCCTTTCAGCTCTGGGTGGTTTCTTTTCCTCCGCATACCTCACCCACTGCAGTTTTAGCCCCCATTTCCCAAATTGTCTGCATCTTTGACCCTCCAAGGTTTAACCCAGGGAGAGGGAAGCAGAGAGAACTGGTGGGGCCCTGGGCAGTGCTGTGGGCAAGGTGGCCAGGGACTGATGGCATGGCTGCCAGATAGATGTGCAGGGCTCATTCCTGCTCACCTTTCCTCCCTTGTTCCCCGCGAGCTACCCAGGCTTGGCTTGCTTTTAGAAGAGAAGGGGCAGCACGGTGGGCGGGAGGGCCCTGGCAGTCTGAGGACCATCTCGCCCACACCTCAGCCAGGGCGGCCTCACCCACGGCCAGGTCTGGGCTGGCTGCGCTCTTGAGCCCGGCCAGGAGTGGGGGTGGCAGGGCAACAAAGAGCCCTTCTGAGCAGGAGATAAGGTGCTGATTAGGGCCAACGGCCCAGCCCCACCCTGCGGCCTGCACGCTGGGCTGGGCAGGCCAACCCTAGGCCAGGGTGGGAGTCCTGGGGATCCCTGGGAGCAGGCAGTTTCCTGCCAGGCGTTTCTCGGGCGGGAGTGGTGAGGGTTTGGAGGTGACTAACGCAAGAAGTTTCGTCTAAAACACTTTTCCCGCCTCCCAGCATCCCAGCCGTCGCTCCTCACCTGCTCTGCTGACGAGGGAAGATGAGCGAGTCGAGCTCGAAGTCCAGCCAGCCCCTGGCCTCCAAGCAGGAAAAGGACGGCGCTGAGAAGCGAGGGCGGGGCCGGCCTCGCAAGCAGCCTCCGGTGAGTCCTGGGACCGCGCTGGTAGGGAGTCAGGTGGGTGTCCAAACATTCGCTTCGGTTTACCTCTTTGGGCTAGGGAGGTGCCTGGCATCTTGGCAGGTGAAAACAGGACTGGCAGGGTGTGGCATCATTCCCACATATATGTGTTCTCCCCACACACGGCGTCCCTGGTGCCCGAGACCCCAGGAGAGAAGTGTGGCCCAAGGGAGCGCTGAACCTGGGTCAGAACGTGCAAGCCAGGAGTGAGCCTGTAGGCACGCAGGCCGGTGCTGACACTGGTAAACCGTTCACCCTTTATTTCCAGTCCATTGTGGACCAGTGTATTGAAGTGTGGTGGCTCAGTGGTAAAGAATCTGCCTGCCAAGCAGGAGATGCAGGTTCGATCCCTGGGTCAGGAAGATCCCCTGGAGGAGTAAACGGCAACTCACTCCAGTACTTGCCCGGGAAATCCCATGGACAGAGGAGCCTAGCAGGCTACAGTCCTTGGAGTCGTTAAAAAGTTGGACGTGACTTGGCGACTAAAAAACAATAAAGATGAGTTATAGAAACATGAACGTTTACATGTGTAAGCCCAGCAGTGCGCATGATAGCACTCTGTTAACTTACTTAACAGTTACTGTCCGTTTCTGTAGTTCTTCATCCTGGGGCAGTAATAGTTTCTGGGCCAGCACCTGTTCGTGGGCTTCCTTTAGTGACCCTGCATTGGGCTTTGCCTGGTTCTATAAAAGCCCAGGAAGTTTAAAACGGGGAGTTGGTGGCAGACCCCTGGTTCCCGGCGCCCCAGGGGGCTTGACCAGTCAGGCTGTGTGGGCCACCTGTTATGTGGTGGAGACCTTGGTCTCTCTCTGAGAGGCAGCTGTGGGTGAAGCCCAGTTCCTTCCCTTTCCTGGGGGAGAGACAGGGAAAGGAACTGAAGCTGATCCTCCAGCAGGCCTCAGGCACCCCCGTCCCCCGCCCCCATTGGGGATCTCTGAACTCACTCTTCAGGAGCTGTGAGGAGTCTCATGGGCAGTGGAATTCATCTGCTGCTTTCAGAGCCCTGTTCACGTGTGGAGAAGTCGCCCCCTTAGTCCGATTCCTTTTGCCTCCCCCTGCCGCCTGTGGGCTTGTTGGTGAGGGGTGTCAGAGAAGGGGTGTGGGGTTACTGGGCAATGAACAGCCCACGAGCAGCCGCCCTGGGAAACCACCGCTGATGGGCCTTTATTGTCCGGCTTCTGTGCATCATGTAGCAGCTTTTTATTCAGTCTCAGGCTTATTAAAGTTTCAGTGGCCCAAATGGCAGGGGTCTCTGGGGTTCCAAGATGTGGACATAACTCCTCCCTAGGAGGTAACCTGGAGGGAGTCTGGTTTGCAGGTAGAGCTGGAAGCTCCCTCTAGGGGAAGGGGGCATCCTTTCCCCTCTTCTGCATCCGTGCCTTTTGGCGGGGGTGGGGGTGGGGTGGGCAGTAATCACAGCCCAGTGCTGGAGACTTGTCCTGTCTTTATTAAGCGCCTGGCCCAAGATCTGAGAGCTGGTCAGAGGCCGAGCTGGGGTGTGGACAGAGCGGCCTTATGTCTTTCTGCCCCCATGACACCCTTCCCAGAGGCCTTCTGGTGTCTGCTGTCACAGAGAAGCTAGCGGAAAGGCTTTGCAAAAGAAAGTCAGGTGGAGAACCTGAATTCCAAGGTCCTGTGGATTCCGGAGGTGGGGCGGGCAGACCGCTGCTGGGCTGGGGCAGAGGGCTCTGTCCTGGAGGGGGCGGGGTAGGGGCTTCCGCATCTCTGACCGTCTCATCTGTCTTTTCAGAAGGAGCCCAGTGAAGTGCCAACACCTAAGAGACCTCGGGGCCGACCGAAGGGGAGCAAAAACAAGGGTGCCGCCAAGACCCGGGTGAGGCCTGCGGGGGGTCCCTTGGCCCTAACAGCAGCTGTGGGAGGCCTGGTCTTTTCCTCATTCTCTGCACCTGCTTCTGGCATATGGGTGGTGATGGGCCTTGGCCCGCCCAGGACAGTGGGGAAGTCAGGTGTCGGTTTCCTGGTCTGCAGAGGCAAGCTGGGAGGGAGGAGCAAGGGGGCAACTCCGCCCTGGGCTGAGACTGTCACCTTCTCTGCGGGAGGTCCCCTGGCTCCTGCTGGAACGAGGAGGGAGGCCAGATTCACAGTGGCATCAGCCTTTCAGAGAAGTTGTTTTGTTTTTTATTTTATTTTTTCTAAGACACGACTCATATCCTCTTGAGTCATGGGTGGAGGAGGGAGTGGGGGGGGGCGCGTGTGTATGTTGGGGTGGGGGGGCTGTGTGGCTGGCCAGTCATCACCAGCTGGACTCGGGTGGGCCCACCAGGGTGGGAGTCCTGGGCCACCATGAGCCGGCGAAGGTGGGTCCACCCCTCCCTGCTCTTCCCTCACCATCCGGGGCACTGGTTATGGGGTGGGCTCCGTCAGGGACATTTTTGACTTAGTGGATCTTTTCTCTGACCATCTAGAAAACCACCACAACTCCAGGGAGAAAACCAAGGGGCAGACCCAAAAAACTGGTAGGTGACTGGGGCAGAGGCAGCTCGGTTCTTCTGGGGAGACTGTTAGAGAGTGAGTGACGCTCCATCCTCTGCACCCACAGAGGAGACTGCTCTCCCTGACCTGCAGGGCCGGCAGCGCTGGGACTTCACATTTTCACCCAGGCCTGGGGAGGGGAAGGGGTTTGTCCAGGGCCCCCACACTCCTGGCCTTCAGCCCAGGGTTTCTGAAAAGCTGTGTCCGTGAGAAGTGCGGGGTCCCGGGTACAAACCAGGCCAGGCTCCCTGCCCTGCCTTACTGGGGGTGGTTCCTATCTTTTCCTTCCCCTGCTTCTGGTTCACCTTGAGGTCATATGGTAGCGTTACCCGCCCACACCCCCCCCCCATTGTAGTAATGGAGGAGGAGGGGGAGGTTTAAGCAGCAACAGAGGAGCTCAACTCTGGGAGGGGGGTGGGTCACAGCCTGTTGGGTGGGAGCTGAGGCTCGATGCCCCGTGGACGCTGCTCCTCACGGGGGCCCCACCCCCGTCTGGGCCCCCAGACAGCTGGGAGCGGCGGCCGGCGGGCTGAGCCCAGAGATCTTCCAGGGCGCCACTGCAGTCGGTGCCCTCCTGCCCTGTCCTCCCCGCAACCTGTCCTTCCCGCGGCTCGTTCCTCGAGCTGTGTGAGCTAAGCCACCACCGGCTGAGGGGGGCTTGGGGTGCTGGCAGGGCCCCAAGAGTGAGTAACAGGAAACGGGTTGTTTGGGAGTTTGTGCCTGGCACGGGGGCCCTGTGTGGTGTCCCGACATTCCCGCCCAGTGAGTGAGCCCCGGCCGGCACACACTTCCCCTTGCTCCCCGCCCTGGCCTGGGGTCAGCCGGTGGCCGTCGCCCCTCCACCGCCCAGCAGCTGCCCCTGCAGGCTGCTGAGGCCACCTGGTTCCCACCTGGTCCCCCGGGGGAGGGGGTCAGGCAGCCTGCAGGCACCCCTGCCCTCCTCTTCCCTCTCCCTGGCCGCCGTCTCCCTCCCCAGGACCAGGCACTTCCTCGCCAACAGGAGCCCCCTGCCCCCCACCCCCAGCCTGGGGGCTGAGGGGCCTGGCTGTGTGTGAGAGCAGCGTGTGTGTGTGTGTGTGTGTGTGTGTGTGTGTGTGTTTTCCCTCCCTTTAAATTCTTCCTTTTTTATGAATGAAACTGGGCCGTAGAGGTTGCTGAGTCACCCACACACTCAGCCCTGACTCATCCCCCTTCTGGAGAGGCCAGGCGTGGGGGGGGGGAGCTTGGCCTCTGGGGGCGGCAGCGGAGGAGGGGGCGGGCCTGGCATGCTCCTGATGGCCCTGCCCGCCCCGCAGGAGAAGGAGGAAGAGGAGGGCATCTCGCAGGAGTCCTCAGAGGAGGAGCAGTGACCGCCGCCCGCTCCCTCCAGAGGAGCAGTTTCCTTCTGGGACTGGACAGCTCCGCTCTGCTCCCGCCCCCCCCAGGCCCTCCCCGGCCCCCACCTGCACCCTCCCCGCCACACTACACCGCACACCAGCCGCTGCAGGGTCCTTGGGCCTGAGTGGGGAGCTGCTCCCTTTGATTTCAGGTCCCAGTGACCCCTCACCCACCCGCCACACCCACCCTCCCAGACAAAGCTGACTTCCACTTAGCCGCTGCCGCGCCCCTGCTCCCTGTGGTGGGGGCCTTGCTGGCTGGGCTCTCGGTTTGGGGATCCCCTCTGCCTCTCCCCTCTGGCTTCCCATTAAGGGGCCTCGGAGGGCTCCCCTGGCCTTAAAAGGGGCCCAAGCCCCATCTCATCCTCTCGTTCGGACACGCCCCACTCCACTGTACTAGCGGCAGCAGGTGTGGCCGCTGGAGAGGGGTGACCGCCCAGAGATGCCCCCCACCATCCCCGACCACCCCCTCTCCTTCCCGCCTTGCCTCGTCCCCACACCCTCTTGGGGGCTCAGGAAGGAAGGTAGGAATGTAAGCCCCTCCCAGCTCTAGGCAGGCTCCAGCCCACCTTGCCCTCACCCTGGAATCCCGTTGCAATGATGGAAAGACTCCTCTTTATCCAGGTGAGGCCCAGGAGGCCTGGGCTCCCTGCAGCAGCCACTTGTGGCGAGCTGGAGCCACTCCCCACCCCGTCTGCTTCCGCTCCAGGCCTGTTTCCCCTCCTCCCTTGCCTCGGGGCACTAATAACAAGGAGCTAGTCTTGCCCACTCCCACCCTCCTGCTCCTCCCCACCCCCCAAGGTTCTGGTTCCATCTTTCCTCTGTTCACAAACTACCTCTGGACAGTTGTGTTGTTTTTTGTTAAATGTTTCATTCTTAGACATCCGTCATTGCTGCTGCTACCAGCGCCAAATGTCCATCCTCATTGCCTCCTGTTCTGCCCACGTCCCCCTCCTCCAAGAAGCTCTTAGGGGAAGGGGCCTGGAGCAAAGCAGGCTGGGTACCGACTCCCCCAGTCCCAGGGAAGGTGGGGTCCTGCCCCTAGGATGCTGCAGCAGAGAGGGGGGGGCCCGTGTTGACTGTCAGGTGTAGGGGCCACCTTCTCCACCTGTTCTGTCAGGGAGGAGGTAGCCATTATTTGTCCCAGCCTGGGGCTCCCCTCTGGTTTCCTATTTGCAGTTACTTGAATAAAAAAATATCCTTTTCTGGACTGAGTCTTTTCTGTGGTGGGTGCTGGAAGAGGGAAGGGTAGAAACCAAGGCTCTCTAGTGAGTGAGTGAAAAAGAGAAAGCACAAGAGGTAAGCCCCTCTTGAAGACATTAACTACACCCCTAGCCACAAAACTTTATTTACAAAATATATATACTGAATATACATTAGGCCCTGTCACCATGGGAACCACTCCAGAGCTAAGCCTGGGAGGGCAAATCCCCACCTGCTAATTCCAGCCACCTTTCACCCCAGGAAGAAATATCCTCATTAGTTCCTGGGAGTGGGTGATAGGTAGGCTCACCCCACAAAGGACTGCAGGCCTAGAACTGAGTGAGGAGGTGGGTCCGATGGAGGCTGGCGGCTCTGTGGGGCTTAGCAGCCAGGCTGGAGGGAAGGATGCTGGGGCAGCAGCAGGCTGCAGGGCCCGGGCCGATCAGGACCCCGTGGTTGCGGGGAGGGCGGGGTCAGAGGGCTCAGGTCACGTCTTGACATCCAGCAAGGGCACCCGCTTATGCTGGTAGCCACTCTGCCAGCCGTGGACCACCTGTGGCAGGGAGACACACAGCACAGCTTGGAGGGAGGCGCCTGGCTGGCCCCGGCAGAAGCTGGTCCTGTCCCCCCCGAGCGCTCACCTTGGGGTCCCCCACGTCTGAGAGCAGCTCCTGCTCGGCCTCGTGCAGCTCCTCGGCAGGGTCGTAGCTGTACATGGGGAGCAGGTGATGGCGCAGCCGGTCCACCCTGGGGGGCACAGGGGTGCTCAGCCACGGCCCCCCACCTCCCTGCTCCGCCGTTTTCCCCGACAGGGCACCTCCAGCGGGTGCCGTTCAGGGTATGCTAGAGCTCTGAGGACACATGTCTGGGTAGGAAAAAAGCTAACAGTGGCATGCAGGGAATTCCAGGTTTGTCTAAGAATGACTGAGGGGGTCTCAGATCGAATGGGAAGGACTTTTAAGCAGAATGCATCGGGGGTGGCACTCACCGTTTTCTCTTCTGGATGTACATCACCTGTAACAGAGACACAGCACTGTGGAGGCGGCTGAGCCCAGGATGGCCCACGGGGGGACAGGGACCTACCTCCACACCCTCCCCTCCCGTGACAGCAGGACAGTGAGGTGCTGTGTACAGGCTGGTCTCGGCCCACGCGCCCCTGCCTTAGCCGGGGTGTGTGTGTGTGTGTGTGTGTACGTGTACGTGTGTGTGTATACGTGTGTGTGTACGTGTACGTGTGTGTGTGTGTGTGTGTACGTGTGTGGAGGCTCCTTACCACAGCCACCACCACCCCGACCAGGGTGATGAGGAAGAAAGGCCCCAACACATAGCCCACCATGGAGTCGCTGTTGGCCTGTGGGGCATTGGGCACTGTGGTATTACTCATGACATCGGCAGCCGGAGGGCCGGGTAGTCAGCATGGGCAGTACTGCCTCGGGAGGGCGCCTCCCCTGGGCTCCCTGAAGAGGAGGAAAGTGAAAGTGAAGGTGAAAGTCGCTCAGTCATGTCTGACTCTTTGCAAACCCATGGACTGTAGTCCATGGAATTCTCCAGGCCAGAATACTGGAGTGGGTAGCCGTTCCCTTCTCCAGGGGATCTTCCCAACCCAGGGATCAAACCCAGGTCTCCCACATTGCAGGCGGATTCTTTACCAACTGAGCTATGAGGGAAGCCCTAAGGGGGGTAGGAGGTTGTCAATTCCACCCAGGGTGACAGCCAGGCTCTGGATGCCTCCCTGAGATAGTAATAATACATGAAAACTAAGGTCAGGTCCAGAAAGGGGAGGGGGGGGGTGTCTTCCAGGTCAGTGTGCTGGGCTGATCCCTCCAGTGACTCTCAGCAAATCCTGGGGGTGAAGGGCACAGAGGGGAGGCCAGACCCAGAGCCGAGTGCTGCCCAGGGTGGGGCTGTCACTCAGGTGCTGGAGCTGGCCAAACATTTGCAGATACTAGTTACTGAAGGAAGGTTAGGTGGAGGTCCCCAGCTCCTGCCCCCTCATCCTGAAGCACTGGGCTGCCAGAAGCTATCCACTGAAGCAAAATGGAGAGATTAGGTTAAAATATGGGGTCCTCACTGCAGCCAAGGGGTGAGGCAGGAGCATCTCCCCCCCACCCCCAGCCTCTATCCTGGTCCAGTGCCCACACTTCAGGCTATAGGTCCCAGGCCTTCGTTGTTCCTGGTGTCACTCCAGACATAGAACCTGGGCACCGTCTTCCTCATTGGTCTTGTGCCAGGGTGGACACCAGTGGGCAGGGCTGGGCTGCATCTGCGAGGTGATGTCACCTCCCCCTGGTCCTCACTCGGGGCTCCGCCCGGGTCCCTCCCCTCCTGGTCTGGGATGACAGGCGGAAGTGGAGAGGGCCAGCTCCCATGACAGATGCAAGGAGATTCTTCACGGGTGGCTGCACGCAGATGCCCCGAGGTCCGTGACCCCGGTTCGCCTGGGTTTCCATCGGAGGTTAAGGGCTGAGCCGCCTGTCTCGGTGCCCACGGGGGCTCCGGACACTCCCAGTCGCACGCCCGTCCCGTGGTCGAGGGGACATTCCGAGGTAGGGAGGGTGACAGGCCGACCCTAGGATGCGGACCAGCAAGGGAGAGCGGGAGGTAGTTCCCATGGCGCTGGGAGGCTCAGGCCAGGGGAAGAGAACGTGAGGGGGCCGCAAAGCGACCCGAGTATCCTGGAATCCCGACACCCCGAGGTGTGGATTGTACCGGCGCTCTGCAGCCCATGCAACCCGGCCATGCCTTACCTCCCGCCGCTGCAGCCCGGAAAGGAACGCCCTCGTTTGGCTCCCGGGCCCCGGAAGAGCGAGCAGGCGCGTGATCAAAGAACCCGGGGAAACGGGCGGGGCCGCGGTATCGGGGTGCAGCCAATCCGATGGCCGCAGGCACCCGGCCTGCCGGAGCCGCCAATCCGGAAGCGGAGACAGCAGGGGCTGCAGCGCCCACGCCACGGCGGCAGGGGGCAGCCGCGGGCTGCGAGGCGGCGCGGGGAGGGGCGCGCGGCTTCCCGGCGTCCCGCGGGGCGGCCCTGGGGCGGCTGCGCTCCGGAGCTCGCGTGAAGGGCCGGGGCGTGGCGCGCGCGCCCCTCGCCCTGCTGGTCGGAGCTGGGTGCTGCTCTAATGTGCATCGCAGGCCCCGTGGGGCCTCCTTTAATGTCTGTGGAGCCCTCTAGGTCTCCTCGCGGCGTGACTGCCCGTCTGTGCTGTGCTCGGAGTGTGTAGGTGGGCCTAGGTTAGCCCCTGCCCGGCCTCGAACCTCGCGCCCAGCCACCCTCCCTCCCTGCGTCTTACTTACTCTTCGTGTTGGTAAAACAGGCTGCTGCAGGAAGCAAACGATGGCACGAGTGGAGCCTAGCACACACATAGCATGCCCTGAATTTTAAATTTCCCTGTTAACCTCTTTCCGGTTTTCTGGGGCACACACACAAAAAAGGACCAGTGGGGTGATGTCCCTCTGCGTCACAATAGGTTTGCCAAGTAGGTTAAGATTGGGTCGAAGCTTCCGTGGGCTGATCATTAAAATGTCACACACTTAACTGGGGAAATTTGAGTAAGATCGGTGGATTTTAGCAATGTCAGTATCCTAATGGTGATGTTATAGTTTTGCAAAAGTTAGCATTGGGGGAAGCTAGGCCAAGTGTAGAAGGGCTCTATCTCCCTTATTTCTTACAACCATAGATAAACCTACAGTTATCTCTCCCTCATCAGAATCACATGCAATTGGGAAAACTCCAGATTGGCGGGTAATAGAAAACACCCAGAACATAAAAGTTGTAGCAGCTGAACTAGGTTGAGATCCTCCTAGGTCCTCAGGGCGGTGTGCCTTTTCCGATTCTTTTTTTGACAGTCGGAGGATGCACACCGGGTCTTAGTTCCTCCACCAGTGATGGAACCTGTGCCGCTGGCTGTGGAAGCAGAGAGTCCTAACCACTGGACTGCCAGGGAATTCCCTGGGTCACCCTGTTCTTGGTAGGGACAGCCAATGGCCCAGATGTGGTTGAGCTACTTGATCTGGTCAGGCCTCAGTCTTCTCAAGTCCTTCCAGAAGTGGTTAGATGAGAGCAGATCTGGTGCAGAGATGACCCAATTAGGAACCAGAAGACAGGTGGAAGCTCGCCTCTTGCCTCCAGATACCACCATCTGACTGTGATGGAGAATCAGATAAAGGGAAAGAATGAGAGAAAAGCTTGGGTCTGAAACCTCCAGGCAAATTTCCTGGTATTCTCTGGGTTTTGGGTCTGGAGAGTAGGGAGACTGCCCATCAGGCTTCTGTTAGGAGGGCAGAGGGAGGAGGCACCTCCCCAGGCAAGGCCTCCCCCACCTTCCAGGGAAGTAGGGATCAAGCAGTAGGTTTTAGAACCCAGGGGCCCTTGGCTGCCCACACACTCAACCTTTGTTCCCATTCTCAGTATTTCCAACCACACATCTTGAGAGTCTAGTGGTCCTAGGAGCAGCCCTCGTGGTTGCATTAGCTAGACTAGTGTGTGGAAAGGCATGGGGTCTTTATTCCTAGGACAGGACACCATTCCAAGGTAGGCAGGGCAGGTGGGATGACCTCAGTTTACAAAGGAGCAAGCCGAGGTTCTGCGTGGTGTGATGACCTCCCGAGGCCCTTGGTGTGATCTGCAAGGGGAAAGCAGAGTGGGCCCCAGTGGGGGGGCCCTCTTCCTGGACAGCTCTGCCGGCAGCTGCTCTGCGACTGTGTCTGAGGCCTGGTTTTTTCCCGTGATGAGATGAACTGTGGTAGGTTAAATCCATATAATGTAAACCATAAATTAATCATTTTTATTAATAAGTTAATAAGCCAACAAAACAGATAAAATACAATTAAAAATTCTCAAGTAATCCAAAAGAAGGCAGAAAAAGAGGAAAGGGTAACAAAGAACAGATGAGAGAACCAGAAAACAAATAGGATGATAAACTGAAACCTAACTCTGTCAATCACAGTAAAGGTAAATGGTCTAAACAACCCAGTTAAGGCACTTCCTTGGTGATCCAGTGATTTAAACTCCCCACTTCCACCCCAGGGGACATGAGCTTGACCCCTGGTCAAGGAACTAATATCCTGCATGCCACGCATAGCCAAAAAATAATAAAATGAGCAACCCAATGAAAAGGCTGAGATTGTCAGAATGGATAAAAAAAGTAAGACCCAATTATATGCTGCCCATAAGAAATGTACTTTGACTACAGAGACTCTAACAGGGTAAAAGCGAAAAGACACACATTGTCAAAAGAAAGCTGGGAGGGCTGTAATAAAATCAGATAAATTTGATTGCCGAGCAGAAAATATTACCAGAGATTAAAAAAAAGGTCAACTCATAATGACACGATTGAGGATAGACCAATTCTAAATGTTCACGTGCCCAATAAGACAGCTTCAAAATATATGAAACAAAAATGGATACAACTGTAAGAAAAAACAATCACAGTTTTAGTCAAAGATTTCAATACTACTCTGAATAATTGATAAAACAAGCAGAAAAATAATCAGCCAGAATTAAACTGGAACAACACTATCAACCAACTTGATATTTATAGAATATCGACATTTACAGAATATTCCACGTAACACTAGGAGGATACATAGTCTTAAGATCATATTCTTGGCCATAAAACAAGCCTCAATAAAAAGGATTCAAGTCATACAAAATATGTTTTCTGATCACAGTGGAATTATATTAGAAATCATTAACAAAAAGATCCTTGTAAAATTCATAAATACTTAGAAAATGATTAACACACCTCTGAATCAAAGAATAATTAGGAACTATTTTGAGCTAAATGGAAATGCAATGTATCAGAATTTGTGGGACATCTCTATTAGAGACAGAAATCTATAGCACTAAATATCTATTTAAAAAAAGATGTCAATGACCTCAGCTTCCACCTGAAACCAAAGTATACAGAAGAAAATAACAAAGATCAGTGCAGAAATCCCAGAGAAGGCAATGGCACCCCACTCCAGTACTCTTGCCTGGAAACCCCCATGGACGGAGGAGCCTGGTAGGCTGCAGTCCATGGAGTCGTTAAGAGTCGGACACAACTGAGCGACTTCCCTTTCACTTTTCACTTTCATGCATTGGAGAAGGAAATGGCAACCCACTCCACTGTTCTTGCCTGGAGAATCCCAGGGACGGGGGAGCCTGGTGGGCTGCCGTCTATGGGGTCGCACAGAGTCAGACACGACTGAAGTGACTTAGCAGCAGCAGCAGCAGTGCAGAAATCCATGAAATAGAAAACAGAAAAGCAGAATCGATGAAACCAAAAGCTGCTTCTTGAGAAAATCAACAAGATTGATAAACCTCTAGCCAGATTGGTCAGGAAAAAAGAAAATACAAATCACCAGTATTAGGAATGAAAGATTCTACATCACAACAGAGTCTACAGATCATAAAAGAATAATAAGGGAATATTGGGAACAACATTTTGCAAATAAATTCAGTAACTTAGCTGAAATGGAAAATACATGGAAACAAAGACAAATTATCAAAGCACACTTAAGAGATAGATAAACGTATAGGACTTTAGGTTGAATTTATACCATCTTAACTTCAATGGCATACATTAACACTTCCTATTCAATTCCACGTCCCCCTTTAAGTTGGTATTGCTACAAATACATCTTTATATATTGCATGCATATTAACACATTCATAATTATGGTTTTATGCATCTTTTAAACCATATACGAATTAAGGAGGAGTTACATACCCAAAATACAATAATACTAGCTTTTATTTTACTTTGTAGTTACCTTTATCAGTGAACTTTTTTTCTTTATATGACTTTGAGTTATCCAGTGACTTTTGGTTTTAGTCAGAATGACTCCCCTCGGGCTTCCCAGGTGCTTACTGGTGGAAGAATCTGCCTGCCAATGCAGGAGACGCCAGTTCAATCCCTGGGACACCAAGATCCCCTGGAGGAGGAAATAGTAACCCACTCCAGTGGAATCCCATGGACAGAGGTGCCTGGTGGGCTCCAGTCCACAGGGTCGCAGAGCCAGACGTGACTGAGCGACTGAGCAGATATGCACAGCATTTCTTGCAGGGCAGGTCTACTAACAACAGCTTTTTTTATCCAAGAATGTCTGAACTTCTCCTTCAGTTTTTATGGATATAGAATTACTGGTTGACAGGATTTTTTCTTTTCCTGTCAGTTCTTTAAACATATCATTCTACTAGTTTCTGGCCTTCATGGTTTCTGATGATAAATCAACTCTTAATCTTAGGATATTAATTTTAATCACCATGGTAACCAATAAAAAATAAGTAGGAAATACATAGAAAAGGAAATGAAGAGGAAATCAAACACAAAAGAAGGTAGTACTGGGAGGACTGAGGAACAAAAAAGATGACAATATAGAAAACAGTACTATGGCAGAAGTAAGTCCCTCAATATCAGTAGTCACTTTAAATGGAAATAGACTAAACTCACTAATTAAAAGACAGAGACTAGTTACAGTGCACAATTTATGAATGAATTTATGCCAATTACATGTTTGAAATAATTAAAATGGTAAATTTTATGTAGATTTTATCACTCACCAAAAAAAGCAGAATGGATTTTTTTTCTAATGGATTTTTAAATGATCTAGCAAGATTTGAATAAACATTTCCCCAAAGAAGATATGCAAATGGCCAAGTAAGTACAGGAAAAGATGTTCAACGTCACTAATCATTCAGCTCAGTTCAGTTCAGTCACTCAGTCATGTCTGACTCTTTGCGCCCCATGGACTGCGGAACGCCAGTCTTCCCTGTCCTTCACCAGCTCCCAGAGCTTGCTCAAACTCATGTCCATTGAGTCAGTGATGCAATCCAACCATCTCATCCTCTGTTGTCCCTTTCTCCTCCTGCCTTCTCAATCCTTCCCAGCATCAGGGTCTTTCCCAATGAGTGAGTGGCATCAGGTGGCCAAAGTACTGGAGCTTCAGCTTCAGCATCAGTCCTTCCAATGACTATTCAGGACTGATTTCCTTTAGGAGGGACTGGTTGGATCTCCTTGCAGTCCAAGGGACTCTCAAGAGCCTTCTCCAACACCACAGTTCAAAAGCATCAATTCTTTGGCTCTCAGCTATCCTTATGGTCCCAATCTCACATCCATGTATACTACTGGAAAGAACATCACTTTGACTATATGAACCTTTGTCAGCAAAGTAATGTCTCTGCTTTTTCATATGCTGTCTAGGTTGGTCATAGCTTTTCTTCCAAGAAGCAAGTGTCTTTCAGTTTCATGGCTGTAATCACCATCCGCAGTGATTTTGGAGCCCAAGAAAATAAACTCTGTCACTGTTTCCATTGTTTCCCCATCTATTTGCCATGAAGGGATGGACCAGATGCCATGATCTTAGTTTTCTAAATGTTGAGCTTTAAGCCAACTTTTTCACTCTCCTCTTTTCACTTTCATCAAGAGGCTCTTCAGTTCCTCTTCACTTTCTGCCATAAGGGTGTTGTCATTTGCATACTTGAGGTAATTGATATTTCTCCCTGCAATCTTGATTCCAGCTTGTGCTTCTTCCAGTCTGGCAGCAGGTTGATAATATACAGCCTTGACGTAGTCCTTTCCCTATTTGGGACCCAATCCATTGTTCCTTATCTGGTTCTAACTGTTGCTTCTTGACCTGCATACAGATTTCTCAGGATGCAGGTAAGGTGGTCTGGTATTCCCCATCTCTTGAAGGATTTTCCAGTTTGTGATTTACAGTCAAAGGCTTTGGCGCAGTCAGTGAAGCAGAAGATGTTTTTATCTGGAATTCTCTTGCTTTTTCTATGATCCAGCGGATGTTGGCAATTTGATCCCTGGGTCCTCTGCCTTTTCTAAATCCAGTTTGAACATCTGGAAGTTCACAGTTCATGTACTATTGAAGCCTAGTTTGGAGAATTTTGAGCATTAATTTGCTAGCATGTGAAATGAGTACAATTGTGCAGTAGTTTGAACATTCTTTGACATTGCCTTTCTTTGGGATTGGAATGAAAAGAGGTGGGGAAGGATCCAAGTATATGCTGCTGTCAAGAGACTTTAGACCCAAAGATACAAATAAGTTGAAAGTGAAAGAATGGAAAGATATTCTATGTAAAGAATAATCAAAAGAGACCCAGGGTGGCTATACTCATCACAAAATAAATTTTAAGTCAGAAACTGTTACTAGAGACAAAGGAGGGCATTTTACATTGATACCAAGGTCAATTCATGAAGAAGCTTTAACAGTTATGTATACACCGAACAGGGCTCCCCAGGTGGCACCAGTGCTGAAGAACCCGCCTGCCAATGCAGGAGACATAAGAGACAGGGGTTCGATCCCTGTGTCGGGATGATCTGCTGGAGGAGGGCATGGCAACCCACTCCAGTATTCTTGCCTGGAGAATCTCATGGACAGAGGAGCCTGGTGGGCTACAGAGTCAGACACGACTGAAGCAAGTTAGCATGCATGCATACACCAACAACAGAGTCCCAAGATATATGAGGCAAACATTGACAGAACTGAAGGGAGAAACAGACAGCTCTACACTAATAGTTGGAGATTTCAATACCTTAATTTCAATAATGGAAGGAATATCCTATACAGTTAGCAAAAACTAGACTGGGACCTGACTATGGCTCAGATCATGAATACCTTATTGCCAAATTCAGACTTAAATTGAAGAAAGTAGGGAAAATCACTAGACCATTCACATATGATCTAAATCAAATCCCTTATGATTATACAGTAGAAGTGAGAAATAGATTTAAGTGATTAGATCTAATAGACTGCTTGATGA